AAAAGGGGCAGTACTGGTTGTATAGCTCATTGTGAAGTGCCTGGGTTCAATCCTTAGTCCTGGGGAAGAAAAGATCTAGAAGGATTCCCCCCATCTCTGAATGCTGAGTTCACGATGGGTTAATGGTGGGATTTCAAGCCCGAGAGGTATCTTCGCAGTGCCCCTCACATGCTCCAGGCAGGTGAACACCCCATAAGATGCCCAGCTTTGGCTTTTACTTATCCTGCAAATACACATTCTCGACTCCCCCATAAACTTACCTCCCCCGGGTCAGGGTCTTGGTTCTGGATCACCTCCCACAACTCCATTACGTGACTAGAAACAGTGTCATATTTGCCACAATCCACGGATTGACCATAGTCTGTGGAGCCAGTGGCAGGTTGGCCCCTGAACATTGTCTCCTGCCGGGGGCCCCCGTGGCCCCAGGAAAATGGGGACAGAGGGCATCCCACGCCTCATTGTTCCTGGGTGTCCCCTAAGCATCACTTTTTTGATGACTACCTGGACATCTGCCTGTGTCCTCCCTGGCCTCCAAGCCTTTGTCCATGCTGTCCCTCGTGCCTAGAATGCCCTCCCTGGAGGTATTGACTCTTGGTCCCCATTTGTCAGCAGGGGCTCTGCCTTCTCTAAGAAACCTTCCCTGTGTCCTGAGATTCATCTCAGAATTCATGAGTGAAGGTGGCCCAGGTTTTTGTTTTGTCACAGGAACAACTCGAAGAAGAGGAGGAAATGGGAGTCAGATAAATTGGGCACCAGTCATACAAATCATCCTCTCCATGCCTCAGTTTCCTCCATCTGTAAAGTGTGATTCATTGCCACATAGGCATCACCCAGGGTGGCTGAGCCTGGAACTTTGGCTTCCACCCTCCCATATGTGTAAGGTTTGCTGTGCTCTCACTCACTGAGGCCTTTAGGCCCTGTTAAACTCCTTCATCCATTCTCTATTTACCAACAAATCACACCAGGCCAGACACTGAGAATTCTGCAGTGACCCCCCACCCGCCGAGACATCTTCTGCGTGGAACTGAACTTTCATGGGGCAGAGATAAGGCAGCTAACAGGGACGTCCAGGGGACCAGGAGAGGGCATAGCCCGGAGCAGAGGACACGGCTGCTGCAAAGGTGTGGGAGCTGGCAATTTCCCAGAGCAGAGCTGGATCACAGCTGGGGGAGGGCGCTGGGGAGAGGAGAGCAGGCAGAGGTGGGGCTTGCACCCTGACGGAGAGCAGGCCTGCCTCAGCCTCCCACCCCACCCCCGGTTGCCTCACCTGCCCTGGTTGCTATAATCTAGGCCAGAGCCTGGAGGGAGCTGAGCCCCCATTGGTGCACACCACGTAGGTTTTTCAGAGATAATTTAATCAGAGCTATTAATAAGCATAAAAGAAAGAGCTCTTTATGCTTCTCCCAGAGAAAAGGGGAGAGAAGGAGCTCCTGTAACCTTGTCATTCACCCGACCCGCCTTTCAGTGCCTGGAGCCCATGGTGGGGATGGGCAAGGAGGCGGGGCAGGGGCGAGCCATGGTGTGGAGCTGAGGTGGCCTCAGGAACTGACTGCGGCCACGCTCCCCACCTGCAGTGCACCCTCAGCCCATCCAGCTACCTTCTCTGGGGCACTGGAAGGTTCCACGTGGATGCCCATCCCAAGGCCTGGCGCAGTTAGTCTTGCCTTTGCTCTCTGCACAGCTGGCTCATTCTTTACTTCTAGTCTCAGCTCAACTGTCACCTCCTCAGAGAAGCCCTCCAGGACTACTCCATCTGAAGTCAGCGTCTCCCTTTTGCTCTTCCTCCCAGCACTGGCTACTGTTGGCAACTCTAGGAGCCCTTGTGGGCTGACTTTCTGTCTCCCTGTCTGGACTCTGCTTTGGGAGAGATTCTTGAGCATTACTTCATGATAGTGTCTCTAGAACCTTACACAGTTACTGACCCAGAGTAGGTTCTAGGTTGAAGTTTGTTGATGGGTTTTGAGAAAGTTTAAGGGATCTGGGAGGAGGGTAGAGTTGCCATAGGAACCAGGAGGTAGTGGGGAATCTGTTCAACCTAGAAGACCCCTTAAGAACTCAGGAACCATTAATTTTTTTTTTTTTAATCACTGGGAATCGGAAGGCCACTTGCCTATGTTCATGCAGTAAGTTTGGGCCAGCAGGGGAACTTGAACCCAGAGCCCTTTTGGGGGCATATGGTTCCGTACAAGTCCCATCTTGAGCATAGCTCTGTGGTGAAGAGATTTCCGAGGGCTCAGCCAGGCTCAGAAGGGAAACTCCCGTCCTCTGCTAAAATCGATTAGTGATGTCTGCCAGGAGTCTGGCTTTGGGTGTTGGGGAACAGGCAGCTTCCGGGGCCATTCCTTTGTTTATGGTTTTGAATTTGAAAGAGCAGTAGACTGAGAGTCAGGAAGCTTGGTTCTTTTAGTCGGTATTACTGTCTTCTCATGTGATCCCTGGACAAGACAGCCAACTTTCCTGGGTCTCAGTTTCTTTATCTGAAAATGGGCTATTGGCTTTATCCCTGCCTATCTCAAGGACTGGAAAGAGAAAACGTATAGGTATAACATTTCCCCAAGCCTCAGGGGATCTACAGCTACAACCCACGATTATCACTGTGAAACGTGTGCACAACAGTAAGTACTACAACAGCCATTCTAGATGCACTATATACTAGGCACTACCAGGCACTCTACACATATGACCCGTAAACCTGGCCAAAGCCCATGATGAGAAATCGCTGGCCTCTGTGCATTATGGATGTAGACTCAGGCTGGAGACCATGGCCTTGCTCAAGGTCACATCCGCCTTCTGCATGAGTGGAGCCAAGATTTGAACCCTGGTGGGTCTCTGCTATGGAGTATTTCCAACTTAGCTGGAGGCCTTAACAAACAGGAAACAGTGACCGAGGGAGGTGGGGGTGGCCCCCGCTCTACGCCAAGGTCATCTGTTCTCTCACCAGCTGGGCCTGGCTCTCCCAGGCTCTGAGTGGCAGGGAGATTTGCCCCGGATTAAAGTCAGCCGGCCCCACCGCCCCTCTGACCTGGAAAGGCCAGCAGGCCCTCCCAGGTCCTCCCAAGTCCTCTCGGAAGATCTCCTTTTGTACAAAAAGTTATTCACTTATCAAGGTTAAAATACATTCAGCGCAGGCCAATAAAACAGGGATGCCGCCGCATCCTGGCTGTCATGTGCAGGCTGGTTTTCATGGCAACAGGCCCTCTTCTGCACATTAAACGGTTCACTTGTGCAAAGTTCAGGCCTTACATAAACAGGGAGTTAACAACAGCGGTGGAAATCAATGTCTGGCCAGGCATGGGCTGGAGAGATAGCATTGATTGGGCCTTTCGTCATCGATAGGCCAGGTCCGAGCTTCCTGCCCAGCCTCTCTGCACTCCCCGCTGGAGCCCCAGCCCTGGGCTCAGACCCAGAGCACTCCAGAAAAGCAACCCCCACCTTGCCCTTTTCCGGTTGGGATCCAGCAGTAGGGGATCTGCTAAACTGCAGCCGTTTTGTAAACCATTATTGCTGAGATGCTGTTCCCTTGCCTTAAAATATGTTCTCATGGCTCTTAATGAAGAAGGCATCCTGTTGCCTTTCAAACCATTTTTGTAGAAGGACCACTCCGACTGCCTTTATAGTTACTCATAAAAAAAACCCCAAAACCAACCAACCAAACAAACAAACAAAAAAACACATCAAGATGTGCCCCATTGCATTCTAATAGGTCAGGATATAGCACCAAACTGGCTGTGTGATCTTGGATTAGTCACCTCACCTCTCTGAGCCTCAGCTTCCTGTTTTCTAAAATGGCAAGAATAACAGCAGCGACTTCATAGGTGTGTAGGGGAGGAGAAAATGAGGGGACACAGGGGAGCCGAGGGCTTGGCAAAAAACGGCTTGTGTCTCCTTTACTACCAATTCCTGCAGGCACCTTGAGAGAGCAAAAAAGGACAGGAAGCCAGGAAGCAACATCTGAGCTCAAATCCCAGCTTCACTGCTATCTGTACGACCACAGGGAAGACTCCTCACCGCTCTGAGCCTTGAGAGCCATTCCCTCTTCTACAGTGCAGGAATGCTCTTGCAAGAAGGAAGCAGAAATTCCACGAGCTCAACCGCATGACTGCCGAAAAAGATGTATTGAATCAGATCTTTCTTCCAATGGCAGATCCATCCACCTTTGCAAAATAAGACAATCTTTCTGTCAGGGAAGGTCAGGTCAAGGGAAGGAATACTGCTTCAGGTCTTAGAATGTGCACAAGGGCAGGGCCTTGGTCTTGTTCATCTCTGTGTAGTCGAGGCTTGGCACAGGTTAGAGCTCCATACCCATTTGTTGCACGAAGTTAATCTTCTCGAGAGAGCAAGGCAGGCTCATCTGATTGGGCATGGGCAGCACAGAGACGGGAAGGGCTGAGATGACTCAGGCTGGTGGGGAAGGATCCTGAAAGCCACCAGAGGGGCTGGGTACAGAGAAGCCCAGAATCCAAGCCCCCTTCCCCGGGAAGAGCCAGTGCTGGGAAGCAGAGGAGGCAGCAAGTACCTATAATCCCAGCACTCTGAAAGGCTGAAGCCAGAGGATCATAAGTTTGAGTCTGGGATTGGCAGTTTAGCAACTTTGCAAGACCGTACATCAAGATAAGAAATGAAAAAAAGGGCCAGGGATGCAACATAGTGAGGAGGCACTGGTTCAATCCCCGTTACTGCTTTAAAAAAAAAAAAAAAAAAAG